CACGAAGCCCTTCACCAGGGACTCAGCTCTCTGGAACAACACGTCCAAAGGAGAGGAGAATATGAAAAAGAAAAGAGTGGTTTATTGTGCAAATGGGATGGTGAATTCAATTCTGTTAAAAGTCAAAATGTACTTGAGCTTCAACTTTTAGGAATACTTTGATGAATTTTAAAAGAGAATCTCAATGGTGAAAACAAAGGCTAGATAGTTGTAGATGTATTGATAAATAGCACGTAAGGAAATGAACACAGCACCCGAGGTCTCCTTCAGGAGGATGACTATGAGGTCTCCTTCAGGAGGATGACTATAAGGGAAAGAAAGGAGCCATCGTAAAGCGGAAGTGGTGTGTCTGTGGGATGCAGCAGTCTGAGATTGGTTTGTGCCCCCTCCCTCCAAGGTCCTGCACCCCACCCCACCCCATTCCCCCCTTTTACTTAGTACTGGAGAGATTTGGTCATGTCCACTTACCTGCCTACAATGGCCTGCTTCCCTGATACTGTTATAGAGGAAAAGGCTACCAATGCTCTCTACTGAAAGGTCAAAAGAAACACATTTTATAAGGCTGGTTTATGGAGTTTGATGTAATGAATTTTAATCTTGGAGGAATTTTGGCGCCCCTGTGGGTTTCCCGTATGTTTTTGTATATGTAGAAAATGAGGTTTTGATGCTGAGTTAAATGCTGGAATTTAAATGATGGGGCATCCCTGTCCCTGGACAACTATTTATGAATAGTGTAGGTATTAATAGGTCGCTCAACAAAGCAGAGCTAATCACTAACTAGTCAAAAAGGGAACATCCAGGGGCTGTGGAGGAGGCTGTTACATCATCGCCCTTGAGAACATACTTCCAACTGCTCATCAAGGCCCTGTCACCTAACTGCACATTTCATTACATTTTGCCTTAACCTGCTACTGCCATTTCCAGAGGCCGCTCTGTAGAGACTTCAGCAGCTAACCGAATTATTCCTGAAGCCACGGTGAAGAGTACTCATGGAAACCATTACACCTTTGGTGGAACACCGTATTCATACTTTGGTTTCTGAGTAGCGAACATAAGTGTTCCAGGTATGATTGCTGTGTGCCTCCTTTGTTTTGTGGTGTAATGTCATCCGTCGGCGAGATGAAGAATTTGGTTGTTTGCACATGTGTGATTCGGTGAGCATAGCACTTAATGGGTCTTGAAGTAAGCACAGTGTTACCTGCTGCTTTTTATACTTTAATAAAGAACCAGTTGTAGAGGCATTTCTGTAAATTATAGAACTACAAAATATAGGAGAGGAAAGAATGTCAAAAAAGATTTGACAAGTCCTCCTGAGGGAAGACTGAGTAGTCAGAGGAAAATAGGAATATTGGGATGAGGTTTGAAATCTAGTGTGAACAAGAAGATGGAGTTTAATGGAAGGATTTATCATAAACTATGCTATATGAAACTCTTAACTTTCATATTGACAAATTATTTAAGAAAGTGGTACGATTCCTTGGTTCAATCCATCCAATCATCTTCTCTTTCTTATTACCTTCTGTTTTTGGTTTGTTTTGCTTTTTTGGGTGTGTGTTTGGAGGATTCTCTGTTACTACTTATTGTGGTTATGTAAAGGAGGAGTGGTGGACTAGTGGGTTACACGTTGGGCTGAATATCCAAGGATCAGCAGTTTGAACCCACCAATGCTCTGAGGGAGAAAGATGAGGCTTGGAGCTCCGATAAGAAGCAGTTCTACTGCATCTATCCTATTGGGTCACTATGGGTCAGAGTTGACAGGATGTTCGTGTGTATGTTCGGTGTGGTGTACACTAAGTCAGTGCCAGCTCATGTTGACCCTAGAAGGCAGAGTAAAGTTTTCTCCTAGAGTCTCTCAAGGTGGGAACTCCTGATGGGAACAGAAAACCTCCTTTTTCTGCCTTACAGGAGCTGGTGGGTTCCAGTGGCTGACCTTGTAATTAGCAGCCCCATGTGTCACCAAGGAGGCCTTAAAAAGCTTGTGGGAAATGGACTTAGAAGACAGTGGAATCTTTCCATGAACTTTTGGAAATTCCCTCTTATTTCCTTAAAGTTGAATTTGTGGCATTCAGTTAGAGCTCTTTTAAAATACATATATATATATATGTTTGGCATTGTATATATATAAATGGCATTGTATATTCTTATAAATAAATTGTTATTTGTTATTATCTACTATACGTTTTTGTTATTTTCAAGTTATGAAAAGACTGGATCCATATAACCCACCTCATTGCTCTTGAGTTCATTCTGATACACAGCAAGCCTGCAGGACAGAGCAGTACGGTGCTGGGTCCTAAGGCTATACGTCTTTATAGCAATGACGGCCATTCCACTTCCATATCCTACAGAGCAGGTGGTGGGTTTTAATCACCAACTTTTTGGGTAGTAATCAAGTACTTAACCACTGTACCACCAGGGCTCCTGAGGATCCACTCAGGCTGCTGTTTTTCAGGGAGACAAGGGTAGAGAATATGAAGAACTAACTGTAACTGTATTCAAAATTATATTGGGATTAAAATACATTAGCTGACCTCCTCGGCTTTTTTTTATAACCAAGCATCACCAAATTATAGCTTGTGGCACAATCTTCAGACTATTTTCCTTAATAAGATTTTACTGGATCACGTCCATGCCCATTAGTCTGCACATCTTCTCTGATTGTTTTCATGCTGCAGTGGCTGAGTTGAGTTGCCACAGAGACCACAACACTTCCAAAGCTGTAAATATAGACTCTCTGGCCCTTTACAGAAAAGGTTTGCTGACCATTGATGTAAACCATAAATCAGGACAGAGATGAGTAAACTATAGTAGTTACCGTATATACTCATGTATAAGCCAGGTTTTTCAGCACATTTTTAATGCAGTTTTTGTGGTAAAATTAGGTGCCTCTGCTGATATTCGGGTCGGCTTACACTCAAGTACATATGGTACCTTGAGAGGTAGTAAAGACTGAGGAATGGAATTTATGGGATTCAAGTGGAACGAGATATGTGGTTGGAAGCATGTTGAGAGGACTCACATTTTTAGATGTTTCAGAATTCATTATCCCTCTGTGTCACTAGGTTATCTTTTGGTTACCTCAGTAGCTTGCTGAAATGGACAGGTTTTTTTTTTTTTTTCTAGTCAGTCAAAGTATCTTTTCTTATCACGAGTATATAGAATATTGCTTTGTGCTTTCTTGAAGATTCAAAAATTACATGCAATCACAGATTTTGGATCAAAGATCCAAGATCAGAGAATGCACTAGCAGCGTTTTCCGGTTTGTCAACATCTTCTCCCATAACACCTCAAGATTGTCAGTTGTTGGTGAATTTACCCTTCTTATTTGCCATTTTCATTTCAGAAAATGAATTGTCCATGCTTCTCAACATTATTAAACAACTTGTCTGTGGCCAAGTAGGAGTTGTTGCCTATAAATTGATTGTGGCGAAATATGAAGGGCTTTTGAGCAGCACAGAATAGGATAAAATAAATTCTAGTTGTAACTACTGAAATTTAGGTCTGTGTCCTGTATGATTCAAATACCACCAGCCAATGAGCAAGATAATTAAGTACACAGTAATGATTTAAAACAAGTACTGTGTACTTTAAATCAAGTACACAGTAATTGATTAAAAACAAAACAAAACAAAACAACAGGCATATTTTCAGACTAAGTAACTTCTTGTTTATAAACTAAGTGTGCTTGTGTGGAAGTAGATCTAACTTGGTAATTGAAAATGTGTTAGCTCTGGCCCAGTTAGCTTGAAATGAAGACAATTAGCCCAATTTTAGAGCCCCTCCTATGTAGAGCATGCCTGCATCATATGGTTTGGTATGAATTAGAATGGACGTGGAGCCCTGGTCATGTGGTGGTTACAGTTTGGGTGGTGATCCATGTGGTCAGCAGTTCCAAACCACCAGTAGAAAGACTGGGCTCTACTCAGAAACAGTTTCCGTCCCAGAAACCCACGGTGGGACGCTCTGGGTCAGCATTGACTCAATAGCAGCGAGATTGGTTCTGTTGTTTGATGGTGTCAGCGGGTGAGCATCATATCACTACTGTTGTAGTTTACCGTGTGGATGTTTCCTTGTGAGGATTAAACGTACACACAGTTCCTAGCTCCATAGTAGGCACCTCGTGAACTCATTGCCATGGGGTTAGTGTTGATTTTTATTATCGTTGTTATGCAGAACTCACAGGTGGACAGTTTCAGTAACCTAGGGTTCACCACCTGAGGATCAGCAAAATCAAAGGGATGAAGTTAACGATGTGCGCCTGACAAAGGTGTCTGATTTAAGTGGGCTAATTTAGAACGCAGCTCTCGTGATTTACTCCATGCTGGCTAGATTCCATTTCAGACAGCCCTGCCATGCCAAAGGCATGTTCTTGCTGATCAGTTATTCTCTGAAATACAAAAGTACTTTTATTTTGATTATGGTATTTTAAATTATTTTACTAATTATAGAAGCAAGCCCTTTTAAAAGTAATGATAATTCTCTTTGGAGCTTATTTTTTGCTCATCTGTAGAAGTGTTTCACATCTGAAAGCGTATAATAGATTGGACATTATTCTTATTTTTTCTTTAGATATTTTGGGGAGACATGGGTTTATATGATTCTGTAGTTTCAGAAAGGATAGTATAATGAAAATATAGTCATTGCTAGTACCAATAAACATAGATTTAGATTTGACTTCAATCAAAACCATGGTGTTTCACTCTTGTGGAATCAACTGGACCAAGTAGATTATACAAATGGAAATCACTACTTGGCTCTAAGGGAGTTTTGGAGAAAACTGCATTTTATGTGTATAATATAAAGCTATTTAAAACAAGTATACTAAAATGTATACCTTTAAATAAAATATTACCAAAATAATCTGTTCATTATATAGTCAATATTATAATTAGTTTTTGTGCTTGAAAATTACATCTAACCCAAATGGTCTTTGCTTTCACACCTGTTTACATAGTGTATGAAGTCACTCCTTTTTCCGTTTTGATTTTCTACGTCCACAGATACCCCTGGCACCGGTATCCTTGATCAGATAGTGGCCTCTGTTCATCAGTCCCACCTGAGAAGAACAGCCCCTCGGAAGGAAATCTAGAACAGGTGCGAGGCCACCAACGCCATGTTCTGCACGAAGTTGAAGGACATCAAGATCACAGGGGAATGCCCTTTCTCCTTCCTGACGCCAAGCCAAGGCCCCAAAGAAGCAGCAGAGGAGGTAGCAGGAGGCTCAGAGAGCTTCCAAGCAACCTTGCCCCTCTGTCAGGATGTTCCTGAGAAGAACGTGCAAGGAACTCTTCCTCAAAGGAAGACCAGTCGGAGCCGAGTCTATCTTCACACTTTGGCAGAGAGTCTTTGCAAATTAATATTTCCCGAGGTGAGTTCTTAGCCTCTAGTGAGTGTCGTGACGTTTTGAAATTAGAAAAGCATATTATATTAAGGTGAATGTAAGTTGTTTATTTCTCACCCCCAAGGCTATAATAAAAGTAAAATATTGCCTAAAAACATAACAAATTATTTTTAAAATCCTGTTCTTAAATTGTAATTAGTCTTAAACTATTTAGAAATTTGAATTCTTTTCAAAAGGATCCTTTAACCTGACAAGCCCAATGACTTTGAGCAACTGTTTAATCCTCTGAGCCTCAATGTCCTCATTTATAAAATGGAAATAATGACAATACTTACTTTATAGAGTTCTAATGGGTTGTCACCCATATTGAGGCTCTTAGAATTTTTTAATTATTCAAAATCTGTTAACTAATGTTCATCTAAAATTTAACTTCTTGAAGAAAACCTTTTTCTCTATTTGTGTTTTTCCCTCTTTAATTCTGAGGAGCATCAGATGCGTTCTATTATTTGAGGAACTGTGGAAAATCTTCAAATTGGTTCTAAATTCCATGTTTGTGCTGGAGCTAGGCTTGTCCTGTGACCTTGGGCTAAAATTCTGATACAGTTTTAAGAGCTGGGTAGGCCTATGTTGTGATATGGGACATCTTTAGTCCACCTACTGCTAAGAGAACTTTAGAAACTAACATTTACCCAACCAGGTCAAGTATAGAAATAGGGCATAAAACGAACTCCTTTCTGTCTGCTGGCTAAAGAAAAGAGCAATTGAAAGTCCTCACAATATCTTCTGCCTTCTGCCAGTTTTGCATAAAATAATTTAACCTCTGAGGCTCAGCACCTATATAATCATATTCTAACTGTAATAATGTATTGATAATTTTAAGGTCACTCAGTACAAGCCCTTTGGCTAACGCTGAAGAAAAAGAAATCCACTGACTTTTAATGGGACCGAGATATGCTTATTGCACACTGAGGAAGTGGTAGGAAAGATACGTGACTTGGCCAAAATCGTACAACTCCTCGAAGAGTAGAGCAAGTATTACTGTACACATTATGGATGGCAGTGACTGAGAAAGAAAGAACTTGAGTAGAAGCTCATAAGGTGACAAATAAATTGGGAGAAGAAGAAAATTGAGGGTACTCAGATATAATCAGCACAGTACTGTTTTGGTCAATGGCTTTGAAATAGAAATATTTAATTACTGTCAACCCACTCCAGTTACTAGATAGCCACATTTTCCTGGGATTCAGGCTGCAGTTTTTCTTGGACAGTTTCTATCTGCCAGCAGACAGAAAGAAATTCGCTAAATGCTTTATTTCTATACTTGACCTGTTTGGGTAAACGTTAGTTTCTAAAGTTCTCTTTAGATAGCTATCGTAGTCTAGGAAACAGTTGTCACTCTTGTTTCCAAGGACAGAGTGAGTGCACAGCTGCACAGATGGTGGTGAGGGATCAAGACCATGGTTTCCATGAGACCTGTCATTACCATGCTTATATTGTTTGACGAGTGTTGAATTCCTATAATACACAGCATGTACATGTTAAAGTCTTTTTAAAACATTATGAATACTAAATAATATTTATATGTTTCATTTGTGGACTCATACAGAATAATCACCCAGATTTGAATGCAGTGTCATGTAGCAAAGCTGTCAAGGTCATAGAAATTCTGGGAGAGAGAGAGGGTATGTTTGGTATTTATGACCAAAAGTTTTATTTTTCTTTTTACGCAGCTGAGACAATGTGCCTTAGGATAGTAAATGTCCCAATGTTGGAAACATTTGAACTGTGTAATAATCATGCTAGGTTAAATCACCAAGTACTAAAACATCTACATGTCATCAAGACATAGCTTTTTGTGTGTAATATTTTTCTAAGTGATGTTTTTAATGCTTATCCTACTGATTAGTTATAGCATTATCAGTAACCCAAAGGAAGAGATTCACAGTAACAGTTAACCACACCATAGCTTTCTCGACAAACAAATTTAGCTCTTCACATATTTATTTTTGAGAAAGCAAATATTGAAGTACATTATAATTAACAAAATTTGCATGAAAGATGTCATACCAGAGTGGTGGAATATTAGAGATTCTGAATATTGAATAGATTATCTCATGCAAACTCTTCATTTTTGTCTGAAAAATTAAGTACCAAAAGCCACTCACTTTGTGATACATTTTTATGTGTTTTGGTATATAAAACCCAGGATTGATGAACCTTTAGGGATAGCAAGTAGAATAAGGGTTTCAGGGGGGCAGTGTCCAATGGTGGTGGTGGGAAGGCCAAAGGGAGACAATGTCAAGAATTCTAGGAAGGAAAAGACTGTTTGGTAGCTACTTGTGGTAGCAAGTGCACTATTCTGCTTGACCCGATTGAACTGTGGAATGATATGATATGTGTTAGTCTGGGTAAAATAGAGAAACAAATTCAAAGACACTTATGTGTATAGGAAAGTGCTTTATATAAAGAGTAATTACACAGTAAGAAAATATCCCAGACCACTCCAGATCAAGTCCATAGTCCTATATTAGCACATATGTCCAGTACCAGTCTGTAAATTCCTCTTCAGACTCACGCAACACACGAAATGACGCCAAGTGCAGGAAGATCACAGGCCATTGGGTGGAAGGTCTTGTGGATCCCGTGGCGGTGGAAGCATCTTAGCACTGGCATGGGTCTCTATGTGACCCCTCCAGCTCCAAGTCTCTGGCTGCCATCAGCATAGCTCTATGTGGCTTGTCACCAGGAATGTCTTCAGGGAGTGAGTGTGTGTCCTGCCTCCAGAGAGCTATTTATCTCCTTGGCACCTCCAAATGAGATCATCAAGCTGCGACGTGATTGACCGGCTACACTCCACCTCTTCCCTCTTAATAGTCTCAAGTTGACAACAGATTACGTAACTACTACACTATATATGTATGAACTCCAAATTAATAATAGATTTTTTTAAAAGTCACTCACTTAAAGTAAACTAGATAACTGAGGAGATGGAAACATATCTGCCTCTGAATTATATCCATTGCTATTCTTACAATAATATAGTTTTCAATATTTCTTGCCAGTATCACAATGAGTTTGAATTGTGGTGTTGGTGAAGAATATTGGAAGTCCCAGGGTTTGCCAAAGGGACAAACACATGTGACTTGGAAAAAGGACAGCCAGAGTGCACCTTAGAGGCAAGGATGGCAAGACTTAGTCTGACGTACTTTGCACATGCTGTCAGGAGAAACCCATCCCTGCAGAAGGACATGGGTAAAGTAGAGGGGCAGCAAAAAGTGGTGGATGGACACGGTGGCCGCAGCAATGGACTCAAACATGGGGACAATTGTGAGGGTGGCACAGGACGAGGCAGCGTTTCATTCTGTTATGGGTAGGGACACTATGGTTGGGAACCAACTTGATGGCAAAACCATAGTTCGGTATTTTTAGATTTTTGTCTCAAAAACCTTGTAAATTTTTAGATATAATGTCTTTAAGGAGCATTCAATTGTGCATGAGCCAATATTTTTAGCACATAAGAATGGACACACTAGCAATCTTGCAGTGATTGGTTTTATGTCCTAAAGCCCTGGGATTGGCTGTAGGTGATAGCTCTCACTGAAAGCTGATGACTGCCAATTGGACATCCCTCCAAAATGGGTCACAAGAAAGGGAGGAGTCAGTCAGGTTTCAGTACGGCACCAACGGAACACTAAACATTCCTCTAGTTCTTTACTGCTTTTCCCCTTCCCCTCCCACTATCATGACTCCAGTTCTACCTTACCCATCCAGCTAGACCAGAGTATGTATGCTGGTACACATAAAAGCTATCAACACAGGGAATTTAGGACAGATAAACCCCTCAGGAACAGTAATGAGAGTAGTGATACCATAGGGTAGGGGGGAGGTAGAAGGAGAAAGAGGAACCGTTCACAATGAATGATGTAAAACACACACACACACCCTGAGGGGGATGAACAACAGAAACATGGGAGACAGCAGACAGGGTAAGATATGAAAATAATAATAATTTATCCAGGTTTCATGAAGGTGGGAGGGGAGGGGAGGGAGGGGATAAAAGAGGAGCTGATACCAAGTCCAAAGTATAAAGAAAATGTTTTTAAAATGATAATGGCAACATATGTACAAATGTGCTTGATACAATTGATTTATGGATTGTTATAAGAGCTGTAAGATCCCCCAATGAAATGAATTATATTAAAAAAAAGAAAGAAAGCTGGCTACTGCCATGAGTTTATCATGTTTTTGCATTATGTCAGGATTTGAGTACTAGGTATATTATAAGAATTATAGGCTAATATCCCAAAAAGCTGGATTGTATGAAGAAGAATTTGCAGTCGGGATTAGAGGAGGACTCATAAATACCCTCTAACTAGCTGATGATACAACCTTGCTTGCTGAAAGCAAAGAGAACTTGAAAAGCTTACCCATGAAAATCGAAGAATACAACCTTCAGTATGGATAGCATCCGATCTTAAGAAAGCAAAATTCTTTATATCTGAAACAATTAGCAAATCGTGACATCAGAAAAAAAGTTGATGTTTTCAAGGATTTCACTTAGTTGGGGAAACAACATTCATGAAAGCAGCTGCCAGTAAGTCAAATAACATATTGCAATGGGCGAATCTTCAAAAGATCTCTTTAAAGTGTTGTTAAAAAAGCCAAGACTTCACCCGGAAGACTAACGTGCACCTGACCCATGCTCTGATATTTTCAATCACCTCCTATGCATGTGAAAAGTGGACAGTGAACAAGATAAGCCAAAGATGAATGGTATGTTTGAATTATGGTGTTGGAAAAGTATATTGAATATATCAGGACATTCCCAATGAATGAACAAATATGTCTTGGAAGAAATACAGCCACAATGCTCCTTCAAAGCAAAGAGTTCAAGGCTTTGTCTCAAGTACTTTGGATATGTTAGTTAGATGGACTAATCCCTGGAGAAGAACAACATGCTTGGTAAAAAAGTAGATGGTCAACAAAAAAGGAGAAAGATCTTCATTGAGATGGTTTGACACAGTGGC